TTTGCCAGAGGGGATGTGTACTCATGGGGGGGAGAAGAGAGAGAGAAAGAAAGTGAGAAAGCACCCCCACTTGGGGAATGGTCATGCCACAATCCCTTCTTTATTTCTCCTTCATTTTGGGATTTCGAACATGCAGACATATATGGCTGGCTTGTTTCTCAAGCCGCCGGGTCCAGGATTTGAACCAAGCAGACAGTCATGTGAGATCCAGATGCCTCAACTAGCACTCAACCACCACAGCATGGGCTGGTACCACATTTCTTAAAAATAAGATTATTTTAGACTAGTATAATTTCATAAGTATTGTTCATTTGGGTTCAAAGAAAACAATGTATACACCTATGATATGAAGTATCATTTTAATAAATGACCTAATGCGTTAGGTTTTCAAGAAATAAGTGCATGACATCTTTATAACAAGAATGGTATATGTATAAATCTCTCTCTCTCTCTCTCTATATATATATATATATATATATACTTTTTTTTTTTTTTTGCATGAGCTTGCCAAAGAGATAGAGAGAGGGGAAGGAGAGAAAACACCCCTCCCCCCATGAGGAATGGTCATGTCACAGGCCCTTCTCCATCTTTAGCCTCTTTTGGGGATTTTGGGCACTCATGCACATGCACGTGGCGTGCCTCTCAAGCCACAGGGTCTGAGACTTGAAATGTGCAGTCAGCCATGTGGGATCCAGCTACCTAAGTCTACTTATCTATGCTATAGGGTGCATGCACTTGTGGAGAAACACAGAGAGAGACAAAGAGAGAGTGAACATGAAAAATCACCATTCAGGAAGATGGCCACACCACAATCCCTTCTCCATTCTCCTCTTGGGATTTTATGGGCACACATACACATGCATCCAGAGTTGTTGGTTTTTTTTTTTTTTTTTTTTTTGAGAGATTTTTACTGTAGGGCGCGTGCGCTCGCCAGACAGACAGAGAGAGACATAGAGACAGAAAGCGAGAAATCACCCCCCAGGGGGGATGGTCACGCCACAATCCCTTCTCCTCCATTCTCCTCTCGGGATCTTGGGCACGCACACACACGCGCCCGGCGTGAGTTTCAAGCCACCAGGTCCGGGACACGAACCGCAGTCGACTACGTGGGAGTCCAGCGACATAGCCATTACGCTAACTGCTGGTTCCCTCATCCAGAGTATTTTTGAAGCCCAGGGTCTGAATCTTGGCCCTCGGTCATGCAGTGGCCATGTAGGATACGGTCGCCTTAACCACCATGCCACCTGCTGTCTTCATCTAATTTTTTTTTTTTTTTTAGGGAGAGATTTATGCTAAATGGTGTGCACAGTTGTTGGAGAGACAAAAGAGAGAGATAGAGAGGGAGAGAGAAAGAAAGCACCCCCCAGGAAGGATGGTCATGCTGCAATCCCTTCTCCTCTGTTCTCCTTTCGGGATCCTGGGCACGCACACACACATGCCTAGTGTGAGTTTCAAGCCACTGGATCCAGGACTCGGACCGTGGTCAGCCATGTGAGAGTTCAGCGACATCACACCATCTGCTGGTCCCCATTTTTAATAAAAGACAAACGTTTGGTTAGGATGCTTTGGTTGTAGTAATAGGAACAAAAATTTCTAGATTATGCAAAAAGGAGAAATTATAAAATTACAAGGGTCCCTTAACAATACCAAGAACAACAGCTATAGTCAGGGCTCTGGGATGGTGGCCATAATAGAAATCAAATTTTGCTTGCTTAACCACAAAGTGGATATAATTAGGATTCAAGGATACTTAACCAAGCTATGGGCAGGGATTAGAGCCGTGCTTCATGAAGTGCCAGAACAGGGAAACTGAGCACTGTCAGAAAGCTAGGAATCATCCTCTTCTGATCTTTCCTCTCTGCCTTTCATTTTGCAAATGCTTCATTGCTGTCTCACTGCAGATCTAATGCTTTTTCTTCCTAAGCCACATGGTGGGACATGGAAGCTCTCCCATTTATATTATATTTCCTTTACTCAGGCACTAGTCAGGGCAAGGCTAGAATGTCCTACCTCCAACTCCAAATTCCTAAAGAAGTTTTAGGACCTTACCAAAATTAGAAATAATTTCCTGGGGCCAGTAGATGGCATAGTGGTTATTTTATTGGACGCCCCACATGGCTGACCACAGTTTGAGTTCTGGATGTGGTGGCTTAAAAATTCATGTTGGAAACATGTGTAATGTGTGTCCAAGATCCTGGGAGAATGGAGGAGAAGGGACTGTGGTATGGTCATCCCCCCAACTCGTGAGTTCCTTCTCAGTGTCTTTGTCTCTCTCTCTCTCCAGTGAGCATCCAGTGGCAAAAAACAAACAAACAAACAAACAAACAAAAAAAACTCTTTGAAAAAAAAAGAAAAAGAACTTCCTTCTCTGGGATAGGCAGTTAGTTTCAGGACACCAAGAGACAGAGGCCAATTACATTTTTTTTGTTTGTTTTTGTTTTTACTGTTCCTTATAGATCTTGAGCTGAAGCAGTTTACTTATATTTAGGAGTACAAACAGAGAGATATGGTCAGAACCCATATCACAATGTGTGGAAATGACCAGTGCTTCAAAAGAAAGGGTGTTCTAACTCCTTATCCTATTTCCCCTGGGACATAAATGATAGGACTGGATAAAGCTATAGTCTAATTTAAGATGAATTTCCTTGCATTTAGTGTAATAGGTATGATTGATCTCTTAGGACAGTATGGACAGGTCTTGGTACGAATAATTTAAGCACAAATGGTGACATTATACTTTGTTCATCTTTTTTTTTCCCCCAAAGAAAAAAGGATATTAATTACACAGAATCTATTTAAGAAAAAGAAAAAAATAAAAGATTAATCACATGGTAGGTGTCAGAAATCCTCAGAACCATAAACAGAAATTTAACCAAGGGTTTCTCAGACTGGAGAGAAACTCTGATCCATCCAGCTTAAGTCACACGCCTGTGAACCATTTACTTCTTAGTGGGTGAGGATTGGGGGGTGAGGGTTATTTTCTGTGCTCTTTACAATTTTCCAGGTTCCCCTGCAGGAGCAAAATTTTACTCTTACCAAAAACATAAGACAAGGTTTATATAGTATGTGATTACTGTATTTCAAATTTAAAAAAAAAAAAAGGATACAGAGACCAGCAGATGGCTAGACTCCCATAGTTGACTGTAGTTCGAGTTCCAGACTCCACAGCTTAAAACTCACACTGGGCACATGTGCATGCCCAAGATCCTGAGGAGAATAGAGAACAAAATGCAGTGTGGACATCCTCCCTGGGGGGTGATTTCTTGTTTTCAGACTCTCTGTCACTTCTTTGTTTTTCTCTGGCAAGCACAGGCACCCTATAGCAAACACCCCCCCCCAAAAAAACCAAATTAAACCCAATACAGATATTCTGCCCAGCTCTATCCACACTGAAATAAAATTGAAACACCAAAGTTTAACAAAATGCGGTGCCTGTTTTATTAAAAAATATATTATATTTATGCTGAACATGTCTTAAGAGTATTTCTCCTGCAGGCTGAAATACAGTATTATTATTTAATATATCTTTTGATAAGATACAAAGGGTTAAGCTTAATGTTCATGATGTCACTCTAATTTTTTTCTTTAATTTTGTTTCTAGAAATAAGAACCAGTAAGGGGAGGGCTCTGGTACACAAGAAAAGCAATATTAGCACGGATGTGGTAAGAGACTCAGAAGCTGGTAATTCTGCTTTACCTCTACCTGGTTCCAGTGGATACAAGGTTTTAATAGATAAAAAAAGTCATTCGGTGTGTCCAAGATCCTGGGAGAATGGAGGAGAAGGGACTGTGGTATGGTCATCCCCCCAACTCGTGAGTTCCTTCTCAGTGTCTTTGTCTCTCTCTCTCTCCAGTGAGCATCCAGTGGCAAAAAACAAACAAACAAACAAACAAACAAAAAAAACTCTTTGAAAAAAAAAGAAAAAGAACTTCCTTCTCTGGGATAGGCAGTTAGTTTCAGGACACCAAGAGACAGAGGCCAATTACATTTTTTTTGTTTGTTTTTGTTTTTACTGTTCCTTATAGATCTTGAGCTGAAGCAGTTTACTTATATTTAGGAGTACAAACAGAGAGATATGGTCAGAACCCATATCACAATGTGTGGAAATGACCAGTGCTTCAAAAGAAAGGGTGTTCTAACTCCTTATCCTATTTCCCCTGGGACATAAATGATAGGACTGGATAAAGCTATAGTCTAATTTAAGATGAATTTCCTTGCATTTAGTGTAATAGGTATGATTGATCTCTTAGGACAGTATGGACAGGTCTTGGTACGAATAATTTAAGCACAAATGGTGACATTATACTTTGTTCATCTTTTTTTTTCCCCCAAAGAAAAAAGGATATTAATTACACAGAATCTATTTAAGAAAAAGAAAAAAATAAAAGATTAATCACATGGTAGGTGTCAGAAATCCTCAGAACCATAAACAGAAATTTAACCAAGGGTTTCTCAGACTGGAGAGAAACTCTGATCCATCCAGCTTAAGTCACACGCCTGTGAACCATTTACTTCTTAGTGGGTGAGGATTGGGGGGTGAGGGTTATTTTCTGTGCTCTTTACAATTTTCCAGGTTCCCCTGCAGGAGCAAAATTTTACTCTTACCAAAAACATAAGACAAGGTTTATATAGTATGTGATTACTGTATTTCAAATTTAAAAAAAAAAAAAGGATACAGAGACCAGCAGATGGCTAGACTCCCATAGTTGACTGTAGTTCGAGTTCCAGACTCCACAGCTTAAAACTCACACTGGGCACATGTGCATGCCCAAGATCCTGAGGAGAATAGAGAACAAAATGCAGTGTGGACATCCTCCCTGGGGGGTGATTTCTTGTTTTCAGACTCTCTGTCACTTCTTTGTTTTTCTCTGGCAAGCACAGGCACCCTATAGCAAACACCCCCCCCCAAAAAAAACAAATTAAACCCAATACAGATATTCTGCCCAGCTCTATCCACACTGAAATAAAATTGAAACACCAAAGTTTAACAAAATGCGGTGCCTGTTTTATTAAAAAATATATTATATTTATGCTGAACATGTCTTAAGAGTATTTCTCCTGCAGGCTGAAATACAGTATTATTATTTAATATATCTTTTGATAAGATACAAAGGGTTAAGCTTAATGTTCATGATGTCACTCTAATTTTTTTCTTTAATTTTGTTTCTAGAAATAAGAACCAGTAAGGGGAGGGCTCTGGTACACAAGAAAAGCAATATTAGCACGGATGTGGTAAGAGACTCAGAAGCTGGTAATTCTGCTTTACCTCTACCTGGTTCCAGTGGATACAAGGTTTTAATAGATAAAAAAAGTCATTCGGTGTTATGTTGAAGGTTTTGTATTTCAACCTCTGTGTTTCTTTGTGACAACACTTCCTTAATGCTATCATCTTTCTGATCATCATAAAACGTCATATTCAGAACATTGTCAGTACAGTCTTCTAATGAAATGGTTGACAAGTATGAAAATACTTTTTCCACAAGAGGTTCTCTGAGCAAAGGCCCTGGAGAGTTCTTTTCCACTAAAGAATCATCAGAAAACCAGTCATTAGCTGCTTCTACACTTTGGCTGAAATATGAATCCGATGGTAATGCCGATAAGCTTACTGTAACATTGCTGTCATTTGTTGCTGAGCTAGTCTCTGGGGGGTCACAAATGACCTTTTGTGTTGCAAGGCAGAATTCATCTTTAGAGTGATCTTTAATTGCTGTACAAAAAAAAAAATCAGATTTACTATGAATACTACATTTTTATGAGTCAAATATTAATCATAAAGATGCTTCTTTTTAAAATTCAGACTCTGCTTAAGGCTATAATAAACAGGATAATGCTATAAAGAAAATTCTGAGTTGCTGTCATCATTCACACAATGTTAAATATGTCACTGGGAATTGACAATATTTTCATGGTAATCAGGAACAGAACGTCTATTCTAAGTTCTACTAAAGTCAACCTGTTTTAACAGGAAAAGATTCTAATTAGGCTAGAAATCTCAGTTCTGAAATGTTCTTTAAAACCAGTAAAGGCTGTTTCTTAACTATTTATAGCTAAGTATTGCCTCATTTTTAAAAATTGATTAAAAAATACATGCCTCTTTGAATAAGAAGATTACAAAATATTTGGTTCACACCAGGAAAGGCTTATGGGTTGACTTTACCAGTAAATATTCCTATAGAGGCTTACAATTTACTAGCATTTTGATGTTCTTTGTACCTCATTAGTCTTCTCAATAATTCTTCAAGGTAGTCATTATTAGACTACTTCACAAAAGAAGAAAATGAGACTTAGAGAAGTGGTCCATCACAAAGCAGATACAAATTGGATTTTGACCTGGATTTCTATTACTCTAAGTTTCATTAGATTTCCCATTAAATTATTTATACTGTATACTTAGTATTTAAAAAAGTTAAGCTTTTAGAAAATATTACATTTATACAATATTAACTTTTGATATTTTACACATTAATTTTAAAGCTGTTTTAAATATTTTATTATATTTGATATTCAGTATTTCTAAAATGTAGGAGGTAATGTCTTGGGGTACTAAGAACATGCAATATATAAAGAAAAAAAACTAATTCATGTCTTTTGACCCTCAGGCATTATTATTGTATATGTAACACCCTTGAGTATAAATATGAGATGAAAATTAAAATTTCCCATTTTAAGATACAAAATTGCAAGTTTTATTTTTCTAAAAAATATACACCTATTCAGATACTGATAAATTAGCATTTCTGTTAAATTTTCATGACATTTAAGATACTTAGATAACATTTAGGATAGCCTCTTGATTCTTTAAGATATAAATTGCTATGAACTGATTAAGTTTCTTCTAATAAATTGTTGAGAAAAAGTACCTTTTATGTATGCTGCTTCCTTTTTTCTTTGCTCCTCCTACATAAAAAAGTTATTTGTATTTTAAAACTTGAATAGTTGTTAATGTAATTTATTTGATATACTTGATTTATATATTTTGTAATACATTTTAATATTTTAAATTTTTGATAGAAACATTTTTTACACATCATGAATTTACTTCATTAAAATATATTGACCAAAAATAAAAAGTGTTTAAGTATCACCCAAAAAGAATTTGGGGGGCCAGCAGGTGGCATGGTGGTTAAGGAACTGGACTCTCAGATGGCCAACTCAGTTTGAGTCCTGGACCTGAAAGCTTGAGACTCACACTGGGCACACAAGCATGCATGTCAAAAGCCCCTGGGGGAGAATGGAGGAGAAGAGATTGCAGTGTGGCCATTCCTCTGAGGGTGATTTCTTATGTTTCCTCTCACTGCCCCCCCACTCAAGCACACATACCTTATGAAAAAAAAATTGGACTGCTCCAAGAAGGCAGTCTCTAGGACACGGTAAAGTAATGAAACACAGTTTCAGCAGGGTTATTACTCTCCCTCCTCACTAGAGTATCTTGCTCAGAAATAGAGAAGCTAGGAACCACCAGATGGGGTAATGGTTACATCACTGGACTCCTATGTAGTCAACTTTGGTTCAAGTCCTGGACCCAGTGGCTTAAAACCATGCTGGCGCATGTGTGTGCATGCCCAAAATGCCAAGAGGAGAACAGAGAAGAGATTACAACATGGCCATCCCTCCGAGGGGGTGATTTCTCGCTTTCTGTCTGTCTCTCCAGTGAGTACACATGCCCTATACCAAAAATCTCTCCCTAAAAAAAAGGCATTATATCTAGCAGGGTAAAACAAGAAAGAGGTATAATAATAGAAATAAAAAATATAGGGGCCAGCAGGTGGCATGGTGGTTAAGGTGATAGATACTCCCACAGGGCTGACCACGGTTCAACTCCTGGAACTGGTGGCTTGGTTTCTCATTTTCTCTCTCTCACTTTTTTTTTTCTCTCTCTCTGTGTTTCTGGTCAAATTAAAATAAATGAATGAAAAAATAAATAATTATTTTAAAAATAAAAAAATATGTGTAGTTGATATGACTGTCTATAATGGACAAGAGAATCAAAAGATAAATGATTAGACTTAATGAATTTAGCAAGATTATTGGATATAAAAATTAATGTACAGATAAGACACTAGAAGCACAGACAACAAAAGAAAAAAAAAGTGGATTGTGAAAATTTAAAACTTTTGTGCATGAAGGTCATTATCAACAAAATGAAAAGACAACCCAGGGGTTGAAAGAAAATATTTGCAAATCATGTATCTGGTAAGGGATTAATACATGAAATATGTAAAGTACTCCTACAACTCAACAACGACAAAAACAAACAACCTCATTTTAATATGGGCAAAAGCGGCCCAGCAGATGGTGTGGTGGTTAAGGTGCTGGATCCCGCATAGCTGACTCTGTGGTTTGAATTCTGGACCAGCTTGAAAACACTCGGGGGTGGGGGAGTGGGTGGTATAGTGTGGTATAGTGGTTAGGGGCGCTGTGTTCCCACATGGCCCAAACCTGGTGTGGAACACATGCCTATAGCATGTGAGTGCACATGCCTATAGCAAAAAGCTAAAATAAAACAAAAACAAAAATGGGCAAAGGACTTGAATAGACATTTCTCCAAAGAAGATATACAGATGGCCACTCAGCACATGGAAAGATGCTCAACATCACTAATAATTAGAAAAAATGCGTATCAAACCTACAGTGAGATACTACGACAAATCTATTAGGATGGCTATTATTAAAATAATAATAATAGTTACAAAAACAGAAAATAATGAGAGCTGGAAAGGATACAGAGAAACTGGAACCCCTATAAACTGCTGGTGGGAATGTAAAATGCTGCAGCTTTTGTAGAAAACAGTTTAACACTTCTTTAAAAATTAAACATAAGATTACCATATGATCCAGCAATTCCACTTGTGGGTATATATGCAAAACAACTGAAAACTCCCACATTATTTTTACATCCATGTTTATAGCTGTATCATTCACAGTAGCTAAAAAGTAGAAACAACCCAAGAATCTATCGGTGGATGAATGGATAAACAAAATTAGTATATACCTACAATGGAATATTATTCAATCATAAAAAGGTAAGAAATTTTGACTCCTGCTCCAGGATGGATGAACCTTGAGTACATTAGTCTAGGTAAAATAACCCAGTTACAAAAAGACAAATACCCTATGCTTCCATTTATAGAGACAGAAAGTAGAATGAAGTTTGTCAGGAGTTGGAGGGAGGCGAGCATAAAGAGTTACTACTTAACAAGTACAGAGTTCCAGTTTGGGAAGATGAAGAAGTTCTGGAGATGGACAGTGGAGGTGGTTGCATGACAGAGTGAATATACTTAATGCCACTGAAATGGACACTTAAAAACAGTAAAAATGGGGGACTGGTAGGTGGCAAGGTAGTTAAGGGCGCTGGACTCCCACCTGGCCGACTGTGGTTCGGGTCCTGGACCTGGTTTGCTTTCTAACTTTCTCACTCTTCTCTCGTTCTGTCCCTCTGTGGTCAAATTAAAATAAATAAAATAATTCTTGTAAAAAATAGTTAAAATGGTAACTTTTATGTTACATATATTTTATCACAATTACTAAAAAGAAGAAGAAGGGCCAACCCCGTGGTGCAGCAGGTAAGCATTGTGCAAAAGGAGCCAGAAACCACATGGCCCACTGTGGTCTGAATCCTAACCCTGACCACGTGAAAAATACGCCAGGTATATATGTGTGCAGGTACCCAAAATCTGATAGGAAGGAGAAGCAGAGGACACAAGATTACAACGTGACTATGCCTTTATCTCACACAAGTGTACATGCCCTCTAGCAATGAAAAACAACAAGAAAAACACATTCTACAAACCAACCAGAAAATGACTACTTCGACAGGTCATCATCAATGGCCAAATCAGAATTTACTCTAGATTTATATGCAGAAAGTTGTAAAAGATTATTGTTCTCACTCTAGTGACTCAAGTAACATGAACAAGCTAAATAATAATCGTTTTTTTAAAATGACAGGGGCTGGGACCAGCAGTTGGCATAATGGCTATGTCGCTGGACTCTTGTGTAGTCGACTGTAGTTCAAGTACCGGACCTGGTGGCTTAAACTCACGCTGGTGCGTGTGCGTGTGTGCCCAAGATCCCGAGAGGAGAATGGAGGAGAAGGGACTGCAGCGAGGCCATCCCCCCCTGGGGGGTGATTTCTCACTTTCTGTCTCTCTCTCTCTGTCTTTCTGGTGAGCGCACATGCCCTTTATCAAAAACCTCTACAAAAAAAGAATGACTAGAACCAACCTGTGGTGTGATGGTTGGGGCAGCTAAATCCCTGCGCATGGCTGACTGTATAGGTGGAGTCCCACCCCTACCACTTGCGAAACACACTAGGTGAGTGTGTATGCGTGCCCAAAGTCCTAAAAGGAGGCAGAAATGGAGGAAAAGAAATTGCAGCATGAATGTTCCCCATGGTGGGTGCTTTCTCACTTTCTCTCTCTCTTTTTAATGAGTGCTCATATCTCTAGTAAATTAAAAACAAACAAACAAACAAAACTTAAGTCAAGAAAGGGACAAGCCACTCATGAAAGAACAGACATTTACAGTTATTCTTACCACTGACTAAAATGGAGAGAGGAAGAAGAAGAAAAAAATGCCATAGATGGGAACAGCAGCAGTGTAAGCCTGGTAAATGTGTCACAGATCAAATGATTTGTTTCCCTCAGAACTGGCTATATAATGGGGGAGCCTGGCTGTCCTGATAATTCAGGTGAAACTTGAGAAACTAGGTATGAGGAAAAGAAATTTAAGTTAATAAACTCAAGAGCATGACATAAGACAGTACCCATTGCTACTTTCATCTCTGCCTTACACGAACAGAGTAGGAGAAGTAGGCCATAGATGAGGCTAAGGAGAAATGGGCCTGACTTTTAGTGGACTTTAACAGCTACTTATGGTTGCTGTGACTGTTTAAAATCTAGAGAGGCTCTGACAATCTGAAACCATTACCCCTGAATTTCTTTCCTACTGGTCTTACTAAGTGCTGAAGGTAGTCACTGAGGAAGACCAGAAAAGAAGTAGCAGGGTTGAGTGCTCCCCACCCCATAGACTCTGGATTTTCAAACATAGAAAACTTGGGAGCTTAAAAAAAACTTCTCTAAAGCAATCCTTACTTTTTGGTTGGTTTCAATTTCCTTCTCATCTACTTATTATATTTAATTGACACAATAATTGTACATATTTATGTGCTACAGTGTAGTTCTTTGGTGCATGAATACAATGGGTTATGATCACATCAGAATAATGCCTATCTGTCACCTCAAACATTTGTTATTACTTTGTGTTGGGAGCATCTAACATCTCTTCTAGCTATCTTGAAGTGGGCAATAAGTTATTAATTATAGTCACATTACTCTGCAATAGAAAACTAGAACTTATTCCTTCCATCTATTGGATTGTCAGAAAAGTCATGACACATTTTTGCATAGAGAAGCATAGAAAAACACATCATAATTTTTCCTATGACCTGATAATTATAATTCTGTATCCTTTAAGCAGCATCTCTGACAATCCTTACTTTTATAGCGGTAAGGCAACATCAGCTTCCTTTCAAGTCGAACTTCAAGGATGAAAAAATTTCCTAAGGTATATAAATTAAGGTATGGGGCTGGAGAACCTAGAGAACCCTTTATTGATTCAAGGAGTGGCCAGGGAATACAGAAGGAAGAGATCTCCCAGAGTTTGGAAATCAGGCACCTTACATGCCAATGCTCATATCTTAGCTCAAATGAAGGGACAATCCAAATCCTGCTCTTAAAATATCTGATGTAAATGATGAATTAAATTTTTAAAAAGCTACAATAAAGTCCTGATATAATTCATATAGAGTATATACTCAGCCCTCACTTCTATGGACTGCAAAAGAAAGGACAACTCTTTCATATTAACAAACCCATTATTGTACTTTTATGCAGTCA